ATTAGTTTAACAGAATTGTCACTTATTTAAAAAAATTTAAATAATAGGAGTTGGGTGACCAAAATATGAACTGTGATTTGTAGATTTAATTTTGTTAAAGTGTTCTCACTACCTAAAATGGATATGAAATATATTCGTAGTTGAACGCAATAACATACTTTTTCGTTTTGTAGTATGTGCGTAGATTGGCTAATATCCATGCACAGATTACAAAACGAAAAAGTATGCTATTGCCTTCAATTGAACGAATATATTTCATATCCATTCTAGGTAGTGAGAACACTGCAAAAAAAAAATAAATTCGCCAATCACCGTTCATATTTTGATCAACCGACTGCTATTATTTTTAAAATTTTAAATAAATGACAATTCTGTCAAACTAATTGTCAGTATATTTTTTAGTTATTGAGATTAAACATACAATAAAATAAGTTATTCTTTTGGAAAACGTTAGCATGGATGACTAAAGGGTATTGGGTTAATTAATTCTAAAAGTGTGGTACAAATGTTATTTTTTGTAGCCAATTCTTCAAAATTATTTTGAAATATCTTTTCAATATTGAATATTAGTTCTACAAATTCATCATTTGACAGTTGCAAATTTCCAAATGTATCTGGATTGGCGTTATCATATGCCTTTAAAAAGCAATAAAAAGAAAAATCATCTAATTCAACGTGATCTTTGTTATATTTAAGACAGGTATCGCAGAGGAGTGGATCCGCAAGGCTTTTATTAAAAGGTAACCACACACATACCTGATAAAATTTTTCTGTATCAATTCGTCTTTACAATAATTTAGGGAGTTAATAATTTTATCATAAAATAAAATACAAGGTGTTCCATTTAAAAAACATACATTTTAATTTGCCAGGCAAAAACGTGACACCCTGTATATCCAAAGATATTTTTAAAATATGTACGTATTTTTCAAATCCATATAACTTTTATTTAAAACTTTCTTGCGTGTCTACAACAAAATAATGAACAATAACGCACTAATGGGATACCCTGTATAAATTATATTTTTAACAATGAAAATTTCTTATAATGTGGTACTTATCGGTTTGGGTCCTTGGAAAAACTAAAGAATGTTTTCTTGCAGGTATAACCCTTATTAAAACAGCTTTTGACTGCACAAACAGAATGATGTCTTTTTTTTTCACTCATTCTACTCATAGCTAAAGAGTCACCAAAATAATAACAGTACCTTTAACTCAAACAAAATCCACGAAATTGTAGGCTCCACGAAATTATACAATCAACGAAATTATAGGCTCCACGAAATTATACAATCAACGAAATTATACGCACGACTCAACACCTTACCTAAGTACGCTTCTGAACACCAAAACCGTCTTTTCCCTTCGAAGGCGGAGCTTAAGCGATGCGCGACGAAATCGACGCAAACCGTTGCCGCCAAGAGAGTGTTTTAGCTGTATTGTATAAGCTGTGTTAACAGTTTCTTTTACATCTATTCCAATCATTAATTAAGTTATCATTTAATTGATACCACTTTAAATTTGATAGCACATAAGACGCAATTATATTCAAGCTAGGAAAAAAGAAAGAACGTTGTCACAAGGAAAAAATACAACCTGACACCGCCTCAGGTTTTTTATCATGTGACGTCACTAACTTCTTATTGTAAAAATACTTTAATATTTATTATTATTTGTTATAAATATTTATTTTCTATAATCATCTTTAGTTCAAGAAATGTTTATATTTTCAATGATAAAAGTGAGGATTTTTTAAATTTTTTGTCTCCTCTAATTTCAATTCAACCAAAAAAAAGTTCAAAACCTGCACAAATTGCGGTAAATTTTCCACGCCAGATTATTCGTTTGATGTATCTGATAATTTCAAGGAAAAATCCCGTGTGAAAATGTGCTAATGTGTGACTAACGATCGCGGGATAACCTTTGAATTATTTCTGTAAAGCAAAATAGAAAAATTGGGGCAATGGCATGCACTTGACCGAACCAACAAAATCCATCAAACTTGACCCAAATCGCTCTCTAACCCGAAATATAAATTTTATTATAATTCTTAATGCACTCTATAATAAACAAACCGACGTGGCTGTTGCTTGTTTTGGAAGCAGTAAATTCGGATTTAATGCGTTAAATTATGATTTGAAACATCGTAAATAAAATTAGAAGTTGTAATTTCAATTTGAATCATCATGGTTTACAATGAAATATACGATGCGTTAATTCTGCCGTCCCGAGTCCAGAAGAACGGCAAAGAAACGGTAACAATAAAGAGAAACAGAATATACATCGTCGATGGGCGGATCGCAATATACATGTACTATCTATCTAAAATCAACCCCAAAGGGAATTTTCCGATTATTTAATAGGAATCAAATATCTCCGCTCCTAGACATAAAAACATTTTTTTTCTAGCATAAGTTAGGTACAAACGAGGGGGTAGTCACTGTGGAAATCTTCTGTCCTACGGGATGGAGATCTCATGGAGATCCGTGGAGATCCGTGGAGATCCATGGAGATCCATGGAGATCCGTGGAGATACATGGATATCCATGGAGATACATGGATATCCCTGGAGATCCGGTGGAGATACGTGGAGATCCGGTGGAGATCCAGGAACTTCGGCTGTAGTCGTGTAGAATCGGAAAAGCGTAATTGCGTGCGCACATCATTTTAACAGGTACCACGGCACGCGCTCACGCGGCTATTTGCTTTAGGTCTTTGGCAACACGTGAAAGTCTGTTTTCGGCTGTATTTTATTTAATCAGGTCTGCTCCGTCTGCTATAATAGTGGTGAGCTCAAGAATGTACTTGTATGTACCTGTTATAAATATATACAAGCATAACTTACGTAAAGCATAGATGTGGTAGTAGTGTGTGTGTTATTTATTGGCGAATGTAAAAGGTAAGTGAGTTTATTTAAATTTTTTTAACACGATTTTATTAGAAATAAGCTCTATTCCCGAAAGGGTTGTTTTTTTTACATTTTGTATTTCACATTTTTTTTAATTGTAATATTAGTAATTCAATATATTAACGTAAATCTCGACGTAAATATTATGACTAAAAAGCAAAAAATTAAATATAGTTTAAAAAACTAATAAAAGACGCTTTTAATGACTACAAAGTAAGAACTAACTTTTCTTAATGTGCATTGGCTATGTCAGAAACCGTGGGGTGCATCTTAGAAATTAATTAAAAGTACATGCTTTTCAAAAAAAGAAACGTAACTGGCATAGTCAATGAACGTTAAAAAAAAGTTATTATTTTTACTTTTGTTAATGGAATAATGAAAAAAATAGCGTTTTTTATCTTTTTTTGTATAACTATATGAGAATAAACGAAAGATGGAAAAAACTCAAAGTTAGTTGTCACAAAATTATCGAGAGACCGGTTCCTCCTAAAAACAGCTGCTCCTTTGGCTAATGCCGCAACAGGCGATTGATTATATAAAAAAATAAAAATATTTTATTTAAATTGGTCAAATTTGAGAATGGAATTTTTGTTTCCTTTATTTGAGAATAGTTTCACTGCATTTTTTCGAGCATTTTTTAGCTTATTAAAAACTAATATACGTTTTTTTAATACTTTTAGGTACAATAAAATGGACAACGAACAACAGACTTTGAGAAGGACTTGCCTCCACTAAAAAATATTTTGAAAATTTCGGGCTATTTTAGTCTAGAGATACTAAAACAAATTTCAGATCAAGATATAGAACAAATTGAAAAATTTTCACAAGAAGAGCTTCCACATCTAATTGAACCAGATGAGTACGAAAATTACTATGGAGTATACAAAAAAGTTCCAAATAAATTCAAAATATTACCTGGTCATAAAAAGTTGTTCATAATTGTATACATAATTGTCCTAAAATGGACCGCACTCGAGAAGTTTGACAAAAAGTGCAAAATTTCAATTTTTAAGAAAATTGTTCAAATAAAAGTTGTTTGTGACGTCATTCTCTATAATTTCTATTCTATACATAATTTCCCTAAATTGGACCGTATTCGATAAATTTGACAAAAAGTGCAAAATTCATATTTTTAAGAAAATTGTTCAAATAAAAGTTGTTTGTGACGTCATTCTCTATAATTTTTGTCCCATAACTGAGGAAAAGTCGAAAAAGATAAGAAAGCATAAGTTAAGGCATGACAGGAAAGTCATGTGTTGGACACATCACATATTTTCCAAAGATCTAATTCCATACAAAATTGAATGAAATGTTTATGGAGGTCTGGAGGCGATATACGAAGATCCATGGAGATCTAAGGATATCCATGGAGATCCAAGGATATCCATGGAGATCCAAGGATATCCATGGAGATCCAATAAGATCTCCACAAATGGAGATTTTCTGTCCTAAAAAATCTCAAGTGACTACCCCCTCGGGTACAAATACCACTTTAACATGTCAAGATCAGATAAGGTGTTTTTCAACCCCGAGGAAAAAAAGTCGCAATCGACTATTTTAAGGGCGTCTTCCCAATATTTACCGAAATTTAATTTTTACATTTTATGTACGATTATTATCGTAAGTAAACCATAAATATATGATTTTTAGGATAGATTCCACCGTTGTGATAAACGAAGTTTAAAATGACATTTTTACATTAACAATGTCATTTTAATCTCCGTTTAACAATTTATTCAAAGGTTTAACACAACGGTGGAGTCGGCCCTTAATCACTTCAATTTTTTATAATCTGACAATTTAAAGATTATAAAATAATCCTTAAACTTACAATTTCATTAACGACATGGCAACGTTGTTATTTTCAAGACACAATCTGTCACTTAGAATGAATATTTTGTGAATATAACCTGTAAAATTGAGTTTTTTTATTTTCTTTTCAAAAAATGGTGGTTTATCCTTAAATTTTTTTACAAAAATGTTCTATAGAAACGAATACCTTTCAAGTGTTTAAATTTTTTGTGAAATTCGCACCTCCGGATAGTAGGATGGACACCACCACCTCTGATAATAATATTGTTTTCGTACTTACTTATGATATGATCTTGAAGAAGCCTTTTCAAACGGTCTTTTATACATAAGGCACGTTTTTAACATAATATTAAAGGTAATAAAACTTAATTTTACACTTAAAACTCTCACAACACAATAAATAATTTAATTTTATTGTAAAATTCAAACAAAAATTGACGTTTATCGGAAAGTGTCAGAACTCTCCGAGCAATTACTACTAGAGGGAGTATGAAACCAGTTTGTAGGTGAATGTTGTGTTCGCAACATCTGTAGAGGAACTGAGGAAGTGGGCACAAGAGTGAAGATAAATTTCTTTCTTGTTCAGTGGCGTATCATTTCTCTGTAAGAATACACATTGTCCAAAAATTTTTAATTGTAAAAAAAAAACTAAAAAATTCGCTAATTTTACTATTATTAAAATGTATACCGTCTTATATGTGTGTCTGATGTAGGAAATAAAACAAAATTTCTGTAAAGGTCTAATTTTTTCAATTAAAGAATAAAATCTCAAAACCAATTGTAGCAACATGCACTACATATCTTTATCATTTTTATTACGTCATACGAATTTAATTGTTTTCATCATTTAGACAACCTTTCGTGGCAGTTCTAGCAAGACAAAAGGTTGAACTCATCGGGAGGGAAACAAGAATTGTTTATTTATAATTATGACTTTTGGTTTTTTTGATAATTTTATATACATGTCATGACATCAAGTTTAATAAACGAAATTATACTTTTATAAGTACATTTTTATTTATTGATGGGATACAATTGTTACGGAGAGTATTATTATTTAACATTTAAAAGATCCCACAATTTGGTGACATTAAAAATGTATTGTCAGTCATCAAAAGTCGATAAGGTGTTGATTGTTGCAAAGTTCTATATAAACGAGTACCTTTACCCTAATGAAAACAAAATTTTAATATGAAATTGATTGAAATTATTAATGTAATTGTCAAAAATATGTCAATAGTAAAGTCAGTATTTTCTGTAAATAATATTATGTTTTAGATCGTGTTCTGGATAAATTATCCATTATATTGCCCCGTTGTTAAGTGTTTAGTAATACTATGTTATCTAGCAATACATGTAGTTGGACAATTAAGGTCCATAATAATCCAGATAGCACACGACGTCCATTGGACGTCCATAATTTGTCCAAATAATGTCCTGGATGTCCATGAACTTCATATGGATATTCATTGGACATCCGTTTTCCGTTATCCAATGGATGTACCATGGATGTACCCATTCAGATGTCCAAAAAATGTCCATGATTGATACTATAAAAATGACTAACTTATAATAAATTATTATAATTCTTCTTGTATAATTTATTTACTACTAGGTTTTAATTAAAATAAATCAAATAATTTTCCTCTCCTCTCGCCTCTGTTGACAAGATAGAAAAGTAAAAGGCCACTCAGGTAAAGTCAAAGAAGAAAGAGAAGAAAACACAAGTGTTCTGTGGAAAACACAGCCATCGAATACACAGCCTATATGTAGCACATAGATGTTTATCTGGTAAGAAAATAAGTATAATTATTAATTAAATCATTTAAAAATCTAAAAATTAAAAAGCAAATCGTTTGTTTTAAACTAATATAACCTATCAATTATGTTTTAAACTTTATGTTTTCGATTTACATTCAAAGAATCCCTTTCTTTTAGACCTTTTGTCAAATGATGTACCTACATATTTAAGAAAATGGCTTTACTAAGAGCTAACTAATATGCTGCAAATTCGAGATGATGTCAACACAATTATTATTGTAACTAGAGGTGAGAAAACATTCAAAGCAGAAGAAAAGTTTCTATTTGTACTGCATGAGACGTTAGCAGAAGTAGAAGGCTATTTAGAAGATACAAATATTTTTAAAGAAGCTGTAAGTTTTACTTTTATTAAATAAAATAGAATCGTTTTGTAACGTTTAAGAAATAATGCATTGAAAGTGGTTTCATAAGTTATTTCTCTTTTATGTTCACAAATACATATTTTTATTGCAATTTTAAATTCAGCCGTTACCAAAACCAGGGACAAGGACATGACGAACTTATAAAAAGATGGTTTGTTTCCATAATTTCTAATACCCTTACAAAAGAATTCACATAATATGATAGCATGAAAGTAAAATGGTAATTTAAAGAAACAATGAGCAGTGTTTTGTTTATATGTAAGTATAGGGGTAAAGTACATTAGTCAATGCATATTTTCATATTAGCTAATAATATTTTATCTAAAAATTTTACATTTTAAACTATCACTTTTGCCTGATCAGGCGTTTATTAAACGATTGATTTAAGACTCAATATTCGTATAAAATGTAATGTCTTTTTTTAGCTGCTGCTGAGAGTAACAATGGTGTTGCTTAAAAAGTAAGCGAAATAGCCTTAAGAAAATGGCTAAGAAGGTCAACAGAAAGGAGTGCATATAAAACTAATACATGCTTGATATTATTTATGACAATAAAAATAAGTCAATAGTTGCAATTATTTTATTTCATATTAATATAGGTGGTGATGTCCATCAGATGTCCATAAATTGTCCAAAAGCAATACAAAAAGAGTCCATATATGGACCTTTCATGGAGTCCAAATAGACGTCCAGGAGTGGGACATTTGTATAGTCCAGTGGATGTCCTTTGGTAAAATGCTGGACGTCCTTTGGACAGCCGATATGTCCATGAATGGACTTACGATGGACATCCAATGAATTGAATTGTGCTGTCTGGGAAAACTACTGGTTGCATGTTTGGACAATTACGATTCATAATAAAAAATGCTATTAAATATATTTGGACAATTAGGGTCCGTAATAAAAAATGCTAGTTGCATGACTTCGGTTATGTAGTGCTCATTTGCGTTTCGTTAATTTGTACGTTATTTTCGTAATTAAGTCGTCATGATTAGAATTGGTCATTTGTAGAGTTTATTAGATAAATAGCCTGTTAAAGTGTTATTTACATGGTCAAAAATATGAAAATATTGTCAAAAAATGATAACTAATGATAGAAATAATGAATATCTTCAATTCGTGGCAGTCAGCGACAAAAAGATTAAACTCACCGGGTTTACTGTTTCTGGAGTCCAATCCATGTATCTCGTTCGGAACTTTTCGGAATTTTTCGAGGGCGTACTGGATCCACAGTTCCTCCTTGTAGGATCCGATTAAAAATCCGGGTTATAGGATACCGCAGCAGGCTCGAAATACGGAGGCACGGCCAAACATAAAGCCGTCGCTAACCCATAAGTATCTCACTACAAATCAGATGTATCCGCAAAATCCTTGAAAGTTGGGCATTCTTCGGGGTCACCAAATTGTGAAAGTCGGGCATCACGTCGGGGTCACCAAATTGTGGGATCTTTTATAAGTTAATAATAATACTCTCCGTAATAATTGTATCCCATCAATAAATAAAAATGTACTTATAAAAGTATAATTTCGTATATTAAACTCGATGTCATGACATGTATATAAAATTATCAAAAAAACCAAAAGTCATAATTATAAATAAACAATTCTTGTTTCCCTCCCGATGAGTTCAACCTTTTGTCTTGCTAGAACTGCCACGAAAGGTTGTCTAAATGATGACAACAATTTAATTCGTATGACGTAATAAAAATGATAAAGATATGTAGTGCATGTCGCTACACCAATACATCAGTTGTATTATAAATAAATACAGGAGACTAGTTTCGGCCTCACAGGAATATCTTCAGGCTTGTAATACAATTATCTTTAATTACTTTAATAGGAACGATATGAGAATAGGGATTAAAATTAAATAGTATAAATCACATAAATTAATCCATATTGTAGTATTGTAGAATTAAAGCTGGGGAAAAGGAAAAATAAAAGAGCGGCGCAAACTAAACTAAAAATAAGAAAAATGGGTACGGAATCTACAAGAGATTAGAATGAGCAATTGCGAATGCATTTAAATTGCTCGGAATAACAAATAAGGCTGATAATGTATCGAATAAGGCCTGAATATGTGAAAGAGGATTCGGCGTTTTCTCTGTAAATCTTGAGAATGTAAGGATGAAGGTAAGCCGAATCTTGCTGTGTCAGGTGTAGATAGGCTAGAAAAAGGAAAGTGTAGATAAAAGCTCCAGTAAATATCGTCATTTTCGTCTAATTTTTTTATTCTTACTCACCGTTTCGGCTTTATCTTCGAAATTCATTTTCAAAAGGAAATAAAAGTAATCATTCATGATAGCATATTGTAGATAGCAGGAAATCAGAATCTCAGTAGTTAAAAGATAACTTTATTTTAAAATATGAAAAGCGTTATATAAAAATTGTTGTGTCAAAGGTACGTCTTTGTTAATTTCGAAATCAGTAATCAATCAATTTTTTGTTTCCTTTTTCCATGGTTACCATCCATCGCATAAGTAGGGTGCTAGTGTACGCAGCTATCGACCAAGATCATAATATATGTGATATTATCTTAGCTGAGGATATTATAATGGTACCATCTGACATTGACACTTGACCAACCTCAAATAAAAACTGACTAAGAAACCTTAAAATAAATTGACGTAAAAATCAAAACTAAAGGTAAGACTATGTGGTGCTATGATGTCGCCACACATATAATAAAACAACGTAAATTTATTATATATAATGAGCTAATAAACGTTTGGTTCATTGAAAAAACTATATGTGAATATATACAAAAAAATTAAAATAGATAAGATTAATATCAAAATCAATTTGAAAATACAACAAACAAAGATAAAATGAAATAAATTAATACATGTACAAATAGAAAGTTAATAACATACCTTCTAAAAGTAACACATTTTAAGTAGATACATCTTTAAAGAGTTCCCTGAACATAACTAATTTGACGTTTTTTAATGTTATGTTTTAGTAGTTAAAGTGAAAATTATAATTTAATTTTGGTCCCAATAAAAATTTAAACATAGGTTATCAAAGAGAAAAATACAAATGGAACTTCATAATCTTAAAACGTTATCAAACAAAACCTTTCCAGACTAACAAAAATATTGAGTTTATTATTTTATTTATTGCGCTATGCATTCCGTTTATTACATAACGAAAATACATATTCATAATTTTCTATTTAGAATTTTGATGTGTGTAATTTTCTCGGTAATAGAACGTCAAAGAGTATTAAAATAGTTTTAGAGTACATCAAATGGATATTGCGTATTAACGTCGGGATTAATTAATAAAATAAAGAGCATGGAATATTAGAGAATATATTGGATGTTGTAATTTGCTTTTATTGCAAACAGGGGTGAACAATAAAATTATTAATTTGGGATTTG